GCAGGAAAAGGAACAGAGCCTCTAGGGCTTCTTCCCCCCCCCCTCCCCTAAGGCGTAGATTCCCTTGACTTCCTTTTATGGTTATATAACTGATGACAACACAACGCAAACCTTTCCCATCCATCTCTCCGATTTCACCCTTTCCCTTAGGAGGAAAATGTTTGCTGGTCGTTGTGCGAACATTCTCATGATGCTGAGTTAAGTGCCATACAAGGTTGTGTGATCTTCAGGGGAGCTGAATCCTTTGGGTGAGAGAGGAAAGGCAGGCGGACAAACAGGCACCAGTCCAACCCCCTGCAGCCCAACACCCAGGCCCTTTGTGAGCTCAGCTCATCACGTGCTCACACCTGCCCACCAATCCCGCCTTGTTGCTGGGTCTCTGTCACTCTTCCATTGGTGCCAGCTCTGACGCAATCCCTTCTGGGGCGCCTGCAAAGGATGGGTCAGTGGATGAAGGAGCTGAAAATGGATCCAGTGACTCAAGCTGCTTCTAGCACTTTCTAGCACATTGCATTCTAGGTCAGGGGATTTTAGGAGCGTGACTTGATACCCGATTCCTGAATCCAAGTGGGACATTTAGACTTTGGGAGCCCTTCTCAGCAAATAGAAAAGCGGTTGTAACAACGGCAACAAAAATCCTCTGTACAGCAGGGTTTATCAACCCAATGCATTATTGACATTGGGGACCGGGAAATTCTGTATTATGGGGGACCGTCCACTGAAGGATGTTTAGCAGCATCCCTGGCCTTTATCACTGGATGCTAGTGGCACTCCTCACCCGCGATATCACAGTATGACAACCACAAATGTCTCCTGGGAATTCCCTGGCAGTCCAGTGGTTAGGACTCAGTGCTTTCACTGCTGTGGCCTGGGTTCAATCTCTGGTCAGGGAACTAAGATCCCGAGAGCGGAGAAGGGGGCCAAAAAAAAAAAAAAAAATCTCCAGACACGGCCAGATGTCCCCCGATTGGCCAAATCACTCGTGGCTGGAAACCACTGCTCGAGGTAAACAGCAGCCACCCGTCTTTGGGGCGGTCATTTTCCCCTCCCCTCCCCCTCACCTCGGTGCCCTTGGACAAATGTTTTTTCTATTTGCTTCAACCGAACCCACAGTTAGACTTAAGTTAGGGACCGCAGGGGTGGTGCAGAGAATTTTTCTGCTAGAGACAACACAGTGTTCTCAGCTCGCAAGAATGTTGTTTTCTCTTTGGAGATAACCCCGGGCCCATTCCCCACCCTCTGAGCCTCTCCTCTCCCCCCTCTTTCTCCTTCTTTCCCTCCCTTGCCTCTGAAATCAGGCCTGTTTTCCTCTGTACCTTTTGGACCATGAAAAAAACTATGTCACAAAACTCGTGACTCAGCCTTTAAACAACAGGAGTCACAAGGTTTGCAGGAAAGGAACAGCCCAAAGCAAACAGGGTGTGGTTTGAAGCCAGGTCTGGTCACCTGAGAAAGAATCTCAGCTTTTTGTTCCTCTGAAAACTTCTTTCTGAAATTTAGGGAGAAAAAAACTTTATAAAGAGCCTTGATGTTCTGTTCCTTTAAACCCCCTTTCCAAAAATTTAGAAATAACCTTCACGGAAGTCTGTATTGGAAGTCACTGTGAAACGGCAGAAATGCGTCTGGGCGGGTGGGAAGGCTCCGAGGAGCTCCAGTTCTTTATGTCTCAGCTCAGAAAGAATTCAGCGAGAGGCAAAGTGATAGATAAGGAGTGATTTATTAGAATAGGACGCTTGTGAGGCTTCCAAGCCAGGGGGCTGCACCCCGAGAACTTAGTGGGCTACAGTTTTAGAATCCAACAAAGAAAGGGGAGGGGGAAAAGACCATCTTCTTCCTCATTCTTGAGTAGATGTTAAGCTTCCATCATCAGTTCCTCCTCCATGTCAGGCAGGGGAGTTTTCTTGTCTCTCCATAGTCAAGTCAGGACTGTCATGGCACCAGTGGAAATGAGCAAAAAGGTGGTAACATATATTAAAAATGGTAAATCATCTCAGGTTTCAGTATAATGTCACTCTCTCCTTATATGTTTGTTTTTAGTATGCCCAGAGGACTCATTAAGTTACTGAGCTCACTGGGCAGGATATGGGTCTCCTTCCACCATTGTTTGTTTCAGGGCATGTCTCATGCTTCTGTTGCATGGGTTTTTTGTTAAGCAAGCCTGCTGGTTTTGTGGTTAAGTAAACCTGCTTTCTTGAGTGAAAGACCCCTTAACTTACATACTTTTTTCTCTACTTACAATCCCCTAGTGGGATTAACTATAATGTTTAATCACCAACTTTGTCTCTTTACTCTGTCCCTGTCAACTGGGGTCTCCTGCTAACCTGAAAAATGACATTTTATTTTTATTATTCATTCTAATTTCCCAGTAATAAATTCATTCTGAAAAATGTTAAAAATGATAGAGGTTAAAGTTTATTTTGAAAATTGCTCAGACCTTTTTCATAAGTACATACACAGGTTACCAAAGAAAATATATAGCAGTTTTGTTCTGATTCACGTTTTAAGTATAATGTTTAAATGATTTAATGTTCATAATTTCAAGCAGGAAT